GGGGGCATCGCGGTGGACCCGTTCAAATCCAGTTTTGGACAGTCTGCCGTGATTCCATCCCATTTCAAGTGCTGTTCGAGGCTCGGCGTAACCCTCGGAGCACACTCTCCAATCACAGAGCTTGAGGACTATCACGGGGGGTTTGTCAAACAGAGCACATGGTGTAGTCCAAACGATAGCTGGGGATTCTGGGTAGTATTGTGTCTTCTGCCATCCTTTACTCCGAAAAAACATTTGTTTCTCCGAATCGAAGGGGAAAAATACAAAAGCATTGCACACAATTTAAACCAATCAATGTTGTGTAATTAACAAGGATAATCTGGTGTTTTTTAGTCGATGAGTAGTGCAGATATCACTGTAAAATCAATCGACAGTAAGGGGAATACTTACTTCCGGGTGTACAATTCTCCGTTATCCAATGAGAATGGACGCTCACATTGCCTTTAAGGGCAGCTGACACAAACGAATGCCGTGCTTCCATGAGTGTCCATAGAAGCATATGGACATCCCGGAAAGCTGAAAATGGACGCTAAGGGCCCCCCCTTGCGTTGAAAATGGACGCTAAGGCCCCCCCCCCTTGCGTTGGAAAAAGCCGACAGGGGACTTGACATAACGTCAACATAGGCCGACCTGGGAGTGAGGATGTGTTGTAACGGTGGTGGACTCATCAGAACAGAGTGGGCCAGCTGACCAATCAGACCAAGCCGTTTAGGACAGAGAGTGAATACACATACTACAGAGACGCTGTATGAGAAACCAATGTGACCAGTGTGTGTGTGTGTGTGTGTGTGTGTGTGTGTGTGTGTGTGTGTGTGTGTGTGTGTGTGTGTGTGTGTGTGTGTGCCTACTAAACAATAATTGTGTTCTCAGTCTCACTTTCACTGATCCACACGTGACAAACATACGGGTTCTCTCTCTATCTCTTTCTCACACACAGAAACACACACACATCCATATCAATCAAGCTATTCCATAAATCCGAGGAACAGAGAGGAGATAGGCAGTCCTGCTCTCATGTTGGCTGCTGCCAAGGTTGAGCGAGCATATTGCCTCGTAATGGAAAAAGAATGGAGGAGCAGACACTGCACATTGTCTGAAACTCTATCAAATGATTTCTCTGTCTCTCCCTGCACAGCAACTGTGACACAGTGTCTGATAATGGCCGGCTTGTGTGTCTGGTGTACCTGTATGTGTGTGGTTGTGTGTGGTTGTGTGTGTGTGTGTGGTGTGTGTGTGTGTGTGGTGTGTGTGTGTGTGTGTGTGTGTGTGTGTGTGTGTGTGTGTGTGTGTGTGCGCGTGCGTGCGTGCGTGCGTGAGAGCTGTGCCTCATATGCCTGAATGTGTTTTATGTATGTTTGTGCGTGCTTCTGGTCTCACACCAAATAGTTGTCACAGCAGCTGTTGATCACCGATAAAGAAATGTTTTGCCAAACACAAGCCCAGCATAAGAACACTCACATGCCTGTAAAGCATCCATCTTCTCACAGCTGCACTCACACCTCTTTGCTAGAGCCAAAAATGCATATTAATTTGCCAGAGAGAAAGAAATGATCCATATACATTACAACATTTCACAGAAAATTTATTTCTCATCATATAAAAATCTGTCTAACTGGGTTTATGTCTAAATATCAATTTCAATAACACTTTGTGGTCCAGAGAGTAGTAGATTTCATATATTGAAGAACTCAATGGGATTTACGGAGCATCTTAAAAGGTATTGTTTGTCTATGTATCTATTAGGCTATGTACCAAAGAAAGGTTTGATGAAAAGTGTGAATTATTTGCAGTGCCTTGGTGGAGATATTCACTCCTGACGGATGCTAGGCATATTTGAAAAATCCTACAGACTGCTCCTTAGAAACAGCTGGAGGTTAAGTGTTTTTCCCAAGGGCAGGCTGGTTGGGCAGGAAAGATTAGTCTTTAAGGAAGACTAAGAGCACTGATACAGCTTCTTATATCGAGACAGGTGTAACCGCATTTAAATATGGATGCCAAAAATGGATAAGTATAATGTCACAGACTAGCTCAATATCTATCTATTATGAGAACAATAATCTAGTTGTATTTCATAGAGAACAGACCAAATTATAGAGCAGACCATCAGGAAAGTACCATTGGCAAAGTATGTTTCCAAGCTCCTTGGCAGAAATAGTGATAATATAAGTATATTTTTATTAATTTGATAATCCTGTTAAATCCTGTTACGTTAACTTATGTATATAAAAAAAAAGTGCAGTATGACAAGGGGAGAATTCAAAAGGATAGTTCTGATCTAAATGTATATGTTCTAATTATTCTTTCTTTACTTAATTTAACATCCACAGATGGATATTTGATAAGATTTCACATTATCGGAGTTCAATATCATCAGTAATTACGGTTAAAAAGTCAAATTACAGGACTGATTGTCAATGTGTCAACAACGTTTGATGCAATATTCCATTAATACATTTTCTGAACCAGCTGATTTGGTCATGGGGGTAGCAGGCATCCCTACTCTTCATAGGTCACAGTCAATAAGCCATCATTTTAAGGTATACCAATCCATTTCAATAGGTCCGGTTTTACTCTTGACTTGCTAACAGACAGTCAATTTTAACATCCTGAGCATGGCTTATTCTCCATAACAGTGTGCTTCCTTTCCAAATGTATCAACTCATCTTTGTGGAAATGGAGTATCAATATGAACAGCCCACAATTTCAATCATTCTTTATTATTTATTAATGTCACATAACTATTTTCATCTTGCATACTTTGACATAATTTTTTCAGATATTCTCTTTCCTTTTTAACTATATCAGAATTTTGTGAGTGCCAGCTCTTCTTTTACACACTTCCATTTCCTTTTAAATAACCTGGCCCTATATGTTGGACATCTTCTCATTATCATATTATTTGTAATCAATTTCATATTTATTATGCAAAACTTTTCATTTAAAATTGCCTAACAAATCTATCTGCAATTTTTCAGATACATTTATTACCGCCTTCATAATGTTGTATATGCGGGGGATTGAAAGTGCCTCAGTATATAACAACCCAGTCTCACGGCATTTTGTGTTATAGTCACGACATTTAATCTATTGATTCGTGTTCACCAACACGATTTCCCCCTTTTTTTCGTATCACACAGAACGATTTTAAAAGCAATGTATTTCTATTGGTAGTATGTTTCGTGCCTGCAGCACGTCTTTTTGTCCGTTCGGGTCTTGGAAGACCGGAAGCTGTGGGGTTCATAAAAACATGTTCTTACTCTATATCAAGCCACAATTATTGTTTTTATTTTAAATCGTATAATGTCGGACTTTTTTTGTCATCTGTGAGGAAAAGAAATGGGGCTCGGAGCCTCAGAATACTGAAATCTGTATTTCTTTAAATCTTTTTTTCCTTATAATTTGTTATTCTTTTCTAAATAACACACTGTTATTTACTCACCAATAACACACAATTATCCTTGTTTTTATTTATTTGTTTAATTGCATAATCTCGGGCTTTTTTCGCGTCCGTCAGGAACTAAATTTCAAAATAAAAAGAACCGGAAACAGACGTAGCATCCTTGCGATACACAGCCACTGAACTGATTACCCAAGATCCTCAGCTATGGTTTAAGCTCGCTGATTGGATGTTTTAGCCGCAATGCACGTAGGGATATGGTGTTCATGCCATATCAAATCCGAAAAACTTATTTTTTTTAAAGAAAATAATACTTTATTCCGAGTGTTTTTGCTTTTCTCTTTGAAAGTCATCACATAACGGCATTGTAATACACGGTTCGGCTGCATTAAATATTACAGATCTGCTGTAGTTCTTTATTTATAGAGCCCTGATGAGAAGACCTTTGGAAAAACTGAAGAAATGCCGCCGAAACTAAATACTTGACGTGGATCATAAATATATCAACAATTAAACAACATTTTTAATTTCTCTTCACACAATACGTCTCCTTGCAGTATCAACACTAATTCGGCTGACTTTTACATTTGATCTAATTCGTAGATAGGTTATATTTACACCCTGTATTTGTACATACTCTACAGTACATGATTCCACATGTATCAAGATGCCATCTCTTTAAAACTGTTTTAATTATTTCATTTAGCAGCTAGTTTACCTGCAACCTACTTATCTCAGAAAGAGAGTGTGAGAGAGAAGCGCGAGATGGTTTCACTGTGAAAACTTGTCAATAATTGTTTTAAGTATAACACTCCATCTAACTGTTGGCATACCTTTGTCATTGACATTTAGTACCCATTGAGCACGTTTTATCAGCTTCTGACAGGTGCTAGGTTATTAGTATCCTCTCATCTCAGTCACATTCACACGCTCGTCTGCTTCTCTCTGTGCGTGCATGCGTGCGTGCGTGCGTGCGTGCGTGCATTGGTAGCGGTGTCATAAAGATCTTGAGTTGTTGGTGTCACTGTCACAGTATAAGTGTGTCAGGTGTGTGTGAGTGTGTCAGGCCTAGCGAGATACAACACATTAAGCTGATTCTGTCATCGCCTTCCTCAACTCTCTTCCTCTGCCAACAAACAATGTCCACCTGTGCCAGTCACCATCACTCATGTCTGTCCCTTCATCTCAGCGCAGAGGGGTAGACCAAGGGAAGCACAAAAAGAGAGAGAACAAAAACTCTATGTGCTCTGAAACACACACACACACACACACGGCATGACATTTCATTAGGGAAGACTTTACATTCTAACAAGTCAATACTACTGCACGTGTCTGGTTTTGTCCTACATGTGTTGTGCCAATCCTATCAAATTACAGCTTTATTCAAGCAGCCATTGCTCTAGAAATACACAAAAGAAAGAGAAAGCATAATGTATCCCCAGTTTATGTACAGATCCAAAATTAGTTTTTACAATATTGTTGCATGTCTGTTTTCTTGTATTTAGTTTGTGGTAATGCAATAAGCACATAAAGCAAACAAAGGTATATCATCCATAAGGAAAGCAACAACAGGAAGTATGAGTCAGAAAGAGAAACACTTAAATGTCCATTTACATGTTTTATTTCAGCATGCGCTAAGGTGCACAGTTTTGATAACATTACTGAAGCCGTGTGCACGAGGTTTCTTGGTCGGTGGAGTGTAAATCATAGCATGAGGAGATAATAACATCACTGTAATCATTATGAGTCTCAGTCCACCGAGAAATTATGAGCCGTCATGTTGAATGCAAGTGAAATTAGGCTGAAAAGAAATTGGGGGAATAAAATAAGTGTGCAGCTGTCCAAATAATTACACATCACACATCTTTTTGAAATCACATCAGAGAATCCTTTTTTTGTGTGCAATTGCATAAAATAATATTCTAAGGCAGAGAAAATTGCTTGCTCGTTTTTTTCTTGTTTATCCTTCATGGTTTATTTGACTAATCCACGACTAGCCTGCCAGATATCCTGTTACTGTAGACTTCTCAACAGCTTTATAGCTTCCCTGCGGACGGTTTGAAATAACTCTCATATGGGTAAAATATCACACACACTTCTGTTTTATATTCGTCATGGCTATTTAGGTTTGAGGGCAATGGCTTCATATACTGTACTCGGAATCTGTGCACTAAACTATCGCTTCCCTTTTTAGAATAACACTGGAAGACAATGTAGATAAAATACAGTTTTCTTTCACCCGATGATATAAAAAGTGTTGCTCATTAGATGTTTTGGCTCTTGTTTATGGTTGTTTGGCTTCATCTTTTTCAAGGTTGCCAAAGGACTTAGTAAAACTTGACTTACCTCTCTTTGATTCACACTCTCCTTGCAGTTGCGTGTCGGTCTTTTCTCCATGAAAAGCTCAGGTTGCGCCAGCCTCTCCCCTAGAGGCAGGTCTGACTGGAGAAGTGAATGGCGGTGAAGGGGAGACACTGAAAGGACAAGAAAGGTTAATTGGTTTTGTTGACCATCTGTCTGCGGAGGAGAAGGTGTGTGGAGACAGCACACCTCAGGTTGAATAGTAAAGACTAGGATTTACAGGCACTGATTGGCAGTGACCACTGTGGTCACCTGTCCTATTAATAGAGCAAGTTCATCTCTCCGATTCATTCATTCTTCCCTTTTATTGTCTCTGTCCTTCCTTTGTATGCCCTTCTACTTCTTTTTTATGCTGGCTACTTTCTTCAACCATCTATTTCTTTAGCCCTTTGTGTACATAACAGGGTGACTGGCTGACAAAGTATCTCTCCCTCTTTCTCTCCATCCCCATCTCTTTCTCTGTGCCCTGTGCTCTCACACAGTGAATGAGTCTTAGATATCCAGCTGAGAGAAAAAGAGAAGTAGCTGAGTGATGCAATCAGCCAGTCTTAAGGCACAGCCGGGCAGATTCTCCCGGGGGCGGAGATGTACCTGCAAAAAACTGGGAACCTCTTTTTGCTGCACTGCTAAGCCCAAAAGTGGGTATTTTTCTATCAAATAAGAGTTCCCACTCAGAGACCGAGGGATCCAGAGAGAAAATAGATCCAGACAACACCTACTGTAACCGCCTTTGACTCGTTTATGTGCGAGCTGGGACATAAAGAAGTCACTTCTGCTTGATAAACTCTGGTTATTTCTGTCAGGCAAGTTGATATAACATACCTTAAGGGCAGCAGACTCAACGTCATAAATACAAAGTGAATCACAGAGCTGCAGCTTTTAGCAATTGAATTATAGCTGGGAATGAAAACCTGTTTGTTGTTATCCTGATAAAACTGGATTTCCTGCTCAAAGCTGCTCATGATGACCTTGACAGTTTGAGGTTTTAACGTAGAGCCTGCTGTGCACCAAATATCATGAACAGGGTCACCTAACTTTTTATTTATAACGTTTATTTGAAGAAAATATATAAAAGTATTTAATTTATTGACAACCTTTGATACATTTGGAGACATTGCTATTTACTATGAGGAAAATAAATCCTGTTATCAGATATGTTGTGGTGGAGTAGCCAATAAATTATGTTGGACACTTTATCTGCATCTTTGTTGAAAACACTAATCAATAATGCATTACGCAATTCAGACACTTTAGAAAACACCACAGGGAAGAGACTGCAGTGGTAAACTGTCAAGGGTGACATACACTTTTAATATTGCACATTTTCTGAATTAGACAATGCTGCTGTTGTTAATGTCTGCACAAACTGCACCGTTTAATTTTCTGCAATTATCTGGCCTTGTGCTGCTCTGCCAGTGCGGAGTACAATCAAAAGCTACATTTTAACATAATTAACAATGTTTGAACAAAGGTTTGTTATTCTTGTTTTCATATGAATGTGTAAAAAAGAAAAAAACTTCAGGAGTGGTAATTTCCCTCTTGGCCTAGTTTAATTTCAAATGTAACATTTAGAAAAACATAAATGTAAATTAACTGCTGACTAATTTAATAACCGATGCACCAAATATGATTTCTGCAATGAACTCATTTAAAGTAGGTTAATGAGTTAAATAAACTATTGAGATGTGAATATACTTCATCCTACATCTTCTGTCTTATTATAGTCCGGAAACGTACAGAAAATGCTGTTAAAACCCTCCTTTTTTTGGCTAATTTTCTTCAATTATGATGTTGATTGCAGCCATGCACACTTTAAAAAAATGGAATCCCAGGCGTAGATGTATATCGACCTAGTGACGTATAGGATAATCCCAAAGGATAAACAGGGATGTCATGTAAGCACTCATTTTAAAGTTTTAAAGCTGTTCATTATGAGCTGCATTTATGTATAAAATATTCACCTTTTTAATTAACTCCTATCAGGGTCAATGAGTCAGAGCAATTTATTTAATGAACAACAGCCTGAAGGCAAAACATAAAGAAGAGTGATACATTATAAAACTGCCCGACAAATGCAATCAATATACACTTGTCATTTAGAGGGCATCAAGATTGCCTTTTTAGCACTGGGTAATCAGAAAATGACAGTAGTCAAATGAGTAAAAGACAGAAATAATAGTAGAGAAGAGGATGAAGATAGTTAATTTAGTTTCTGTTGCTATGTCAAACTTTGCATTCTAGCAAGAACAAATATTTATATTTTCAGAGAGACGGATAAATGTTGCTCCTTATTTCTGGCAAATGACTGTAGATTTGAGTGAAATTACAATCGTGGCTAGCTGATATTGGCAGGTATAATTATCTGGCTTGTACTTGACTAATAAACCTAAATCACACTTAAGATAAAAACAGCAGTATCTGAAGAAGAAACACTTTCTGAAATCCCAGCCATCTCAACAGAAATAGCTCTGACTTTTCAAACGTCAGCTGCTTTTATACTTGCCAAAGTTGGCTTTTGAAGTAGAAGTAACTATGCATGTAATTTTATAACATAATATGACATTATTCTATTAAAAGAGATATGAGAAGAATTTAGCATTTACAGGCTGGAAAGCTGTCAAACTTGAAAACTCTTACAACCCCACCCACACAGTTTTTATTCCCTTTTGACAACTGACAAGGCATTTCTTCTTATGTCGGACATTTTCTTTTTGCCGATGAAAAGGAAATCTTGGCAGCACGTATGATTACGTTTTAATAAGCCCACCTAAATATCAGATAGAGCAATGAGCATTTGTTTTAAATGCCACATACAACACTGGCCACTGACTCTGGGGATTTAAACATTTAAATAAATAAATAATAGTACCCTATGCTGCCATTCAGCCAGATGCATGATTTAGATGAATGTGCATATTAAACAGTAGCTTAATGAAGTGTCTTTATATATTCTCCAAGAGATGCAGCACTAGAGTCAAATGAAGAACTTTCCTTTTATTACAGTAAATTATTCATTCACTTCCTCCATTTCTCTTCTTCGAGAATCAAATGAGCTTTCAGTTCATTAAGACAATAACAAGTCTGTGTGTTGTGTCTGGGTCAGAGTCACCCCAGGGATCATGCCGACTGAAGATTGTTTATTGTGTTTTTTTTGTATTGCTATTGACTTGTTTACATCTGGCTTTGCAGTGATGACTCATTAGAGTTGACGCAGCTGTCAGTAGCTCTGTTGAACAAATGTCATCCTACTGTCAATAGAAGTGTTTTCTTATTTCTGTAATAAGATGTGTTTTTGTGCGTCCTTGGGTTTTTCGACATCAGCATTCAGTCTGTCGGCATCTTGATTTGGCTCGAGAGAGATTAAATAACAGATTAAAAACCTTCGCCGCATGATTAATAATCTTCTACCTTCTCTCTAAAAAGGCAGATCGGTGCAGCAAAATGACCGATCAAAAACAACGCCGATCTCCTCTCTGGATAATGTTTGGTTAAAGTTGTAGTTTTAGCAACTAATGCCACTGCATTAAGGTAAGGAAAATATTTTGTATACTTTTGAAAGAAAAAAGGTTAACTGCAGGACACAGGGACCAAAACAGACACATTTAATGAATACAACTTATACTGCCCTGCCTGTTATTGAAGCAAATGTTTTTCTCACCCTTATGTCTAGGATTGTTGCTTAGGTATTTAAAAAAAAAATCACACTTCCTCCTCCTTTCTTGGCAGAGGACAGTGACGGCCCGTCCACACTACAGCGTCGACAGCGTCGACAGCTTCAATCTGCCCATTCACTTTGAATGGGGTGACGTCACGTTGCCTCGCTTTTTCGCCGAACTGAATTGTGGGTAGCATAGCGGTCCGTCTCCGCCGGAGACGCCGGAGTAGCCAGCGCCAGCCAATCAAATCCCGTTTCGGAAAATCTGACAGCTCAAGCCGTAGCCAATCAAACCGCGTCTAAGCTGGGAGAGATATCCCGCCGTTCATTTCTATATTTCAAAAAAAGATGGAGGAGAAACTAATTATCGCCGTAGCAAATCACCCGGTTTTGTATGACCAGACCCTCTTCACCTACCCGGATACAAACCGGAGGAACCAGGCATGGAGGGAGGTGGCAGAGACAGTGGGTGAAACTGGTAGGTTTTCGCCTGTTTGGGGAGTTTATATATATATTGCTCCCATAAAATCCCCGGGGGTTTTTGCTTTGTATGTCGGGGGCGGGAGATTCATGTGATTGGTTGTTGGTCGCGTTGCTTGAATAAAATCCCCAAGCTTCAGACACGCCCAGCTCCAAGCTTTTTTTGAAGCTGTAGTGTGGACGCTAAAGTTGCCATCTCTGAACCTTATCACAGGTCATCTCAAGTGTGAGGAAAACAACCAATGCTGCCATGTTTTTGATCTCATCATTGCTGCACTTTCTCTAGCTCTCACGTAGAAAAACACTGTAAATGCATGACCTCCCTTCAGGAAGCATGTTGAACTACCCAAGCAGCATCCAGCCGTAACCCAGAGCAATCCAATGTTGACACACAAAACGAAAACATGAAACAGGTCTGTAATTTCATCAAGTGCTACGATGCGTGGGGCTCCTTCCACAGACATGCTTAAAACTAATCCTCGACCAGAGCATCGCTTTAAACAGAGATCTCCACTCAAAGGAACTAGGATTAATCCACATGTGACATCATGCTTTTCATCACACGTAGAAAGCTACAAATATTGTTTAGAGATTAGCCTCTGTGGTAGGTTCATATCTGACTGGTAGGCTACTTAAACTATGGATACGGACAGGAAAGGCTACATTCTCTGGTTACATGTTCAGGTTCCTGATTGTCTTCAGTAAACTCAACATTTGAGTATGAATTAATTATGAAAAAGCTCTTGCAAACAGGATGATCAAAAAACTGCTAATAGTGTTAACATATTCTCTTAAAACCAGGATAAAGGCGTTCTGAAACATGTCAAATGTTTCAGTAATATTAAAAAGACATTCATACATGAAGAAAGCATACTGTAAATACAACTTCCTCACAATATATACAAAACATAAACTGATGAAGAATGCAGTCATAGAGTAGATTTTACTCCATATTTTC